TATTCTTCCATCTCCATTTCCATTTCCAGTTTCTGTTACAATTCCAGTGAGTTCTTCATGAACAACTATGTGGGAGAGCATCAACTAACTCTTAAGATTGATTTTAGTAATTTTTTGAAGTCTGCCTGGTTATTTGATGTTCTCAATTGCAGGAGAACAATTTCAGTCTTTTTGAATATTCCCTCTGAAAAACGACATGACATTGAAGATTCAGCATTTTGCGGTCCCCAGCCAGTACCAGTAGGTTGTTTTTCAATCATCGGTTGGAACCAAATGGCTTTTTCCTTGACTTTACTGCGGTAATCAAATCCAGAAAGTGCAAATTCTCATCGTTTGTTCCGCCTTTTGGCTTTTGTTTCCACTTCCAGCAGTCAGTTGAGCATAGAGATTTCCACCTTGTTCCACAGTGAAACATCCTCTCAAATTTTGCAGTCCCAAGCTTTCCCTCCAAACCTCTGAACAATCAAAGATGAATCGAGTCCCTATCTGGGTACTCTTTCTTTGATTGTTTCTCATTGTCCAAACAACAAATTCAGCGTCGGAGGATGAAGCCAGGACCTCATTGTACAACTTCCTTTCTCAGCTTTCTAGCAGCAATGCTCAACCGGACCCAAGTTTTGGCTGGAACCAGTCCTCTGATGCCCTGCAGCAAGCACTGGAAGGGTGTTGAATGGCAAAAAACCTGGGTTACAAGCTTAGCTCTTAATAATTCTAATCTTTCTGGCTTTATTAATGCTAGTTTGATCTGCAATGTATCATCTATTGCTTTATATCTTACTACTATCAATCTTGATGGTAACAAAATTGTTGGGGGGATTCCAGCTGAGATTGTAAACTGCAAGAACCTCACTGCTTTGCACTTGCTTGGGAACCAGCTCTCTGGAAACTACCAGATTCCCTCTCAATGTCAGGAAGTCTGAAAGAACTTGATATTTCAAACAATAGATTATCTGGCGACTTGCCCGAGTTTTCTAGGATATCAGGTCTTACAATGTTTCTTGCTCAGAACAATCAACTTACAGGGAAGATACCCCCTTTTGATTTTGACATTCTTGAGCAGTTCAATGTCTCCAACAATGATTTCAGCGGTCCTTTTCCTGATGTCCATGGTAGGTTTTCAGAGAGCAGCGTCCTTGGTAATCCTAAATTGTGTGGAGCTCCCTTGCCAAAGAACTGCCGAAAAAGTGCATCCAAGACTCAGATACTTATGTACTCGGGATACATTGCATTGGGCTTGGCCTGTCTTGCTTTGATCATCCGCAGGTTATCTAGTAGAAAGAAGAAAAGGTCGAAACGGTAAGCAAGAAAGCATCAGTTGCCGACAGTGTCAACCATGCCAAGCCTTTTGAATCAAATGAGTACATAGCCAGTGTGAATAAGTCTGGTCTTTCTTCCTACTCAGCTGAAAGTGCAATGGTTTCATCTTCGTTGGTGGTTCTTACAAGTCCCACAGTGAATAGACTGAAATTTGAGGACTTGCTCAGAGCACCTGCTGAGTTGCTTGGGAGGGGAAAGCGCCGTACCCTTTATAAGGTAATATTTGAAAATGGAATGATTCTTTCTGTGAAAAGATCAAGAATTGGGTGATTTCAACTGATATGTTTACGCAGAGAATGCAGAAAATAGACCAAGCAAAGCATGCAAATGTTTTGCCAGTTCTTGCCTTTTATTGTTCAAAGCATGAGAAACTTTTTGTGTATGAATATCAGCACAATGGAAGTCTCTTCGTGTTCCTCCATGGTAACTATACATTATTTCTGTTTATTGTAGAATGATAACTACTGAAATGCTGTATTATGATATCCAGTTTCTGAACAGCAGCTTTGGTATTTCAGGAAACAAAATGGGGCAAGCATTTGAGTGGGGCAGCAGACTGGGAATTGCAGCCAGAGTTGCTGAGACATTAATTAGTCTTCATGCATCAGGAGCTCCAAGGAGATAGGATTGCTCATGGCAACCTGAAATCCTCAAACATCATGCTGAATAACAAAATGGAGCCTTGCATAAGTGAATATGGCCTAATCCCGGCAAATGAACAAGACCAAGACTCCTCTACATTTCCCAATGCCTTCAAAGGCCTGCAACAGACCAAGTCCAATGCCTCCTCCAGTGCCTTCAAAGCAGACATCTATGGTTTTAGGGTTATCCTTCTTGAGCTTCTCACTGGAAAGCTGGTGCAGAATGATGGGGTTGACCTAACCACATGGGTTCATTCAGTGCTTCACGAAGAATGGACAGTAGAAGTCTTAGACAAGTCTCTGATTTTGGAAGGAGCTTGTGAAGAAAGGATGGTGAACCTGTTGCAAGTGGGTATAAAATGTGTTAACCCTTCTCCTGAGGTTAGGCCAAGCATTAACCAAGTTGCTACAATGATCAACAGCATAAAAGAGGAAGAAGACCGATCTAATGCCCATGAGGCATAAGTCCACCAAGAGCATATAATTTGCAATGAGAGAACAGGGAACTTTTCTTTTGTACTAATACCAGGTTTCAAAATTTTCATTATGGTTATAGCTTTCAAACTCCAGAACAGAGTTGCATTTCCCATTTTGGAGCATATTTGAATTTTTATTCACAATAAATGATAACAAGGTCGGTCCAAGGTCTAGGGTTTGCAGTTTGCACCAATTGCAATTAGGGGAAGTGCTGCACTTACATAATGTTAATGAATTTAAAAAATTCTTTACTAAGTGCTCAACTGGTCAAGCAGAAAATCATAGAATCTGAGACCAGAATTTTATTATCAGCACACACAAACAGATGCATTGATGGTTGTATCAAAGGGCTGGAATTAAACCTTGCTTCCAGCTAGGAAAAGAAGAAAT